TAGGAAGCCTTCACATCGACATACACATCCTGGACATCACAAAAAAAACAACAAAAACATTTTTTTTAGGGAAGAGGAAAGTGGACGTTCTGACTTTTCTGGGGGAAAAAAAGCAATAAATCAACATGTCACAGGCAGTCCAGTGCAGCTGGTCAGGAGCTCCATAAAAGAATCAGTAGGGAATAAAGAACTATTTTAAGCTCTATACAGATGACAAAACCTGGCAGGCTACAAACTAAACCTAAAATAAGGCAAAAATCGACCAAAGAGAGGAAACCAGGGAGGATTTATACAAGCCAATAAAAACAAGCTCAGGAAGAGTTTACTGGCCAAAAGTGAGGGAAGCCAAATGCTCAGAGGGCATCATATTGTTCTCTTTTCCAAAACTACTTTTCTTTACCTCGTTAGAAAACACCCGGTCCCTCCCTACGAGTCACAACTCAAAACATATCTATTCAAACATAACTGGTTTTTAATACGTAGAAGTGGTGTAACAATTTCATTATTTTGTTTCTTTGTAACCTTTTCTTATTTTACTGTTTTCTGTGTTCACTCTTTCTATTGTATGATGTGATTGTACTCATTTTGTTTAGCACTTTGGATACCTGCCGGTTGTTGTAAAGTGCTATATAAATCAATTTTGATTGATTGAAAAGGCTGCGGATAAAGATACCGTTATAAAGGAGAGTGTTGGAGTGCTTTGGCCCCCACAGAAGAGTTCTCCAGACGCCTGCCCCCAGACCGCCGTGCCCATGGTGGAGGTGTTGACAAAGGGAACAGACGAGCTCCACACTCTCAGCTCCGGAGTCGCCGTTTCCGCCAGACACTGAACGCGACACAAAGCCGTTAATCTCCTCTGACAAAGGTGCATCTTCACAGAAACATCTTTAAAGGCCATTATTTTTTTTACCTGTTCAATATACTCAGGCGTGGCACTGGAGAGACTCATCTTGAAGAGTTCCTGAATGGACATTTGGGAATGAGACTCCTACATGAAATAGCAATTGCTGACCACCATGCTGACGCTGGTTCACTTACTGTGAGTTCGTTTGATGAGATGTTGAGTTGGAAGCGGCCATCTTGGTGAGCAGCAGCAATCAGGGGGTTAAACAGCTCATCTGGGGTTAAAACACAACTATTACATTTAACCCTGTCAAATGTATCATATTTGATGCATACGGTTTCTGAAATGTTTTGCTTCTGACACCTTTTGCATCATTTAATGGTAAAAACTTTTCTCAAAATCCTATTTTACACAATCAGATATACCTGATAACAGGTGGCAGAAGACTACACAAAAAATAATCTTGACTTATCGCATAGTAATAAATTATTAATATTAACAATGTATTTCTGTTTTTTCTTTTTACATATTTTGTTAAAAGGCCCAATAAGGAATTCAAACAAAAAAAAAGTACTTTTTTGTTTTGTTTTATTCTCGGATCAGGCTTTAAAGGGTTAAAGACAACAAAAAAATGCAACTGATCTAGAGGAGGAGCTTAATAAGTAAAACACTTTTGCCTTTTTGACATACAAAATTAGATTTTGACTGAATTTCTATTTTATTCTCTACCTCCTTTGAACAAGGTTACACATGCTCATGACAGTGCATCTGAATTGATTTTGCAGGTTGCGTCATTACACAACATTTGGCCTTCAGTGTGTATCAACAATTTCTGCACCAGCATGAGATATTTTAAGTTTAAGTGATTGTGCATTTTGGCTGGAATGTTCCGCAAAAACAGCCATCACATTAATTCCCAGAAGAATAGAGAGAGTTTTGATTATTTTTTGTTAGCTTGTGTTCAGGTACAATGGCCTTACCTGAGAACCACAGGTAAAGCATCCTGTCTTCAGTCAGCTGACTTGGGTGGAACGCAGAGTTGTCGATCACGGAGGTTGTGTTTTTGTAGTTGGTCAGCCCCTGAAAGCGACAAACAAATGGGAAGAAAACACACTTTTGTGAGAAAAATGCAATTAAATGAGTATTTTGAAGATTTTTTTTGTGTGAATTTAACACCCAAAACATACTGAAGTGTCCTCAGACACCAGAAAATGGAAGTCTTTCACTCATTTTAGCCAAAAAGCTTGCATGGGATGATTTACAAAAGCCTATTTTGACACTGAACGACTGAATTTTATAGAAAAAATCGTAAAAAGTACAGTATGTTGGTGTGGGTTGACGGGCAGTTTTTCGGGTATTACTTACCTTGTGGTATGATTCTATGTAGTTAGCGGTGATGACAGGAGCCGCGGTCACTCCAATGTCCACACTGATGTCTCCATCAGTGAGGAAGTGCGCTGTCAACACAAACCCAACAAACCGTGTTCACCTTAGTGAATCAACACTTTCTGAACTGAGGAAAAGGCTAACTGTGTCCACCTGCTGTGTCCTGTATGAAGTCGGCCAGTATGTCCGCCAGCTTGTTGATCTCCTTGCAAATCTGTATTTTTGGGACAGATTGCGAATTCTTTCAGTTCCAAAACACCAAAAAAAACAAAAAGCCGCCATCTTTTGCCCTCACCTGGCCTTTGATGACCAGCTTGACCGTGAAGGTGATGAAGTCGGTGAAGAGCTTCTTCAGCCAGTTCGGCCTGATCGGCGACAAACAGAAAAGACGCGTCAGAACGGGATCAGCCACTGGGGCTGTGTTATGCTTCATATATGAACAGTTTATGGCTTCAGGCATAGTTTTGGGCCTTACTGTTTGTCCCCCTGCAGGTGGAGGCGAAGCTTGTGAAAGGTCAGGTAACAGTCGGACGTGTCCGCCGCCACCTTCCCTTTGCCACAGTCTGATAAAGGAGGCAGGCGGAGATAAAAGAGGCAAGAAAACAGGACGTACGGAGATAAAACGAGATATAAAAGACAGAAAATGAGTGTCTGACTATGCTATTATGCAACTTATACAGTCATCCTCGAAACAGGCCTTATGTAATGCTGGAATGAAGGCTTACATCTACAACAACATGTTGCCATCGGATTTTGGGTTGGTTTTTTAATAGTAATATCTATTCCATAAACTCATACTCTGAGTATTAAGTAGCTCCACTTCTTGAATGTTTGTTTGTTTGGGTTCTTATGCTTGTTTCTCTGAATTCGTCTTAAAATTGGGAATTTCTGTTACTGTTTGGGATTGTTATTATTATTATCTTCAATTCCTTGTTAAAGCTTTTGTGACGCGTTATGTCCCAAATCAATTTAGCATTTTTGATTTCCCCGTTTCCAGACTGCACTTGTTTTGTTTTGGTAAATAAAGAGAATTTTCTTTTCTCGTCCATCGACGTTGCCCAGCATCTGTGTTCCACGCAGCTTTTGATATAATATTCGTAGATTTGACTTGTTTGTGTTAAATACTGTAAACTATGAAGTACAGGCCCCTTCAATGTCGTGGAAGAGTTTCTATTAAACGAGCTACTTACAAAGTTTCGGGTTGATTCCAAGATCAATCTGAGAATCAATCTCAAAGTCGAGAGTCTGTGCAACGTTGACACTGCATACAAAAGACACACAAGAAACACAATACAACCAAACAAATGAGATTCTGTTGGCTTGCTGTACATTTATTGCAAACATTTGTGAACTATCATTAATGTAGCTGATAATGGTGACTCATAGACCAAAGATGTAGAATTTACCAAAAATGGAGGAAGCTACCAGCTAGTTACCCTAATTTAAAGTAAAGAAAACTAAAAGAATGATACCTATAATTGGGTTGCGACATTGTATAATGATATCATGTGGCCTCCTCTGTCAGAATTCAACTCATTATATTCTAACTAGGAGATTTTGGTTGTTTTTTTCTTCTTATCCAGAATCAATATGTCTGAGACCATTGAAACTGGTCCTGAAATGAATCCTCAAGTGGCTGATTACTAATACGATTCGAAATACATTGTACACTCACAGCCAGCTGCCGTATCCGTACTGGAGGGTCCCTTTAAAGATGGCCGACACGTTGCTGATCTCCAGGCCGATGCCTTTTCCCGGAAACAGCTCGAACTGACTCCGGCCAATCGACAGGTTGTGAATCTCCAAACTGGGAGGGTCACAGAAATAAAAGACAAGAAGAATGACGGGAACGATGAAACGTGTGTGTTTGGCGTGCGTCTCCACTCACTTGTCCAGGCCGTAGGAGACTTTTCCCACAAAGAGCAGGGACTTTTCTCCCTGCATGCTGGGGTATTTGGCATGTTGGAACGCTGCCTCGATGACTTTGGTGGTCTTCTCGTTCACTGCGAACAGAGGGACACACACACGGTGGCAGATATGTTGCAGATTTGGTGTTCTGTAAAATACTTTTCCCTCCCTGAGGAACACCTGATGGTTTTTAACTCACAGTAGAGAGAGATCACTATTACTCACAATTCAGTTCATGTTTTTTGAAAAATACTTTATTAATCTCCAAGATAAAATCCAATCACAAAGTAAAGTATTGATCCACTAGTCCATTCATTCATCCATTCATCCAAAAACGAAGACCAGCTGGTAAATGTCTGGAAAGTTGAAACCTTCCGAAGTCCTAAAGAGTGGACTGAACTCAGATGAAACCTCTTTCTAGGAATCCATTGCCATTTGTTTACTGTCAGAAAAAGTTCCAGAGCAACAGGCAGAAAGTGGGACAGCACTGCAGCCTCCAAACCAGCAGAAACAAATCAGAAAAATGCTGATTAAGAGTGAAAAAACGAGAACTAAAACCAGACTTTGACTTTGATCCGCACTCTAATCCGATTCATCTTTAAAAAACACTTTGCTTACATGAAAACGTTACATTTTTTAATTGTGTTTCCCTGCTCTGGCAAACGTTTAAAAATGTCCACATGCATTTATGATGTAATCTACAAATGTCAGCCCTGTTTACCACCTCAGCCCAGAGGCTGAAAATCAACAAAAAACCCACTGAAGACGTTCTAAAGGGCATTTTCATTTCTTAATTCAAATGAACACAAGTGTAGCTTCTTAAATGGAAATGCTACTTAAAATATTTCTGATAAACTGAGCCAGGACTCACAGACAACAGCAGCAGGGTAGGTGAGTCTGCACACAGTCCCGGTGAACCTGTAGGCCGAGGCCGGGTCCTGCAGGCAGGCCCGGGTCAGCCCGAACAGAGCCAGGAGCAGCAGCGGGGGGAGGAAATCACCGGGCATCCTGCTTGGTTGAGGTTTTCAACCCCTTTTTCCAGATCCAAAGTTTTGATTCCTTTTGCTTTGAAAAACCGAGCTCACAAACCGAGCTTTCAGTGTCCCGAAAAGTGCGAGGTGACCCGATCAGAGAGAGGAAACCTGACTGATTTACACATGAAACAGAAAGACAAACACTGACTCAGATTGGACCAAAAACCCTGTTCAAAGTGCAGCCTGTTAGCAATGTGAGAGCCGAAGAACTCAAGCTGAAACTACAAAATCAAGCAGAATGACACGAATGT